TTTTTTTCCTTCCCTTCGACTCACATCATTTTCACTGACTGACAGAGTTAGTTTTTTTTTTTTTCATAGTTTCATCTGATACAACGTTACAGATTGTTTTTTCTTCTCCCATCACACTCGTCGTTTCTTTTTTCGCTCTCCAATAAACTAATATTCCCTAGAAACTTTGTAACTCTCTAAGTCGTTAAAGTTTAAAAAAAATTTTTTGAATATGAAATTAAGCTGATTTATACATTACATAAGGATGGCGTTAGAATTATATTTACTAGTACATAAATTTGTACAGTTGGTGATCAGGGTCATCAGGAGTTGTTGGTATGAGGAAAAAAAAACTAACAACGAAAGCAACAATTAGTTTTATCCTGTTGTGACGACAATTGTCTACAGTTGGGAAAAACAGTTTGATAAATTAGTTGCAACTATCTTAATGACCCATCTAATTCTGTTTTTGTACTACACACAACCTCTTCTGTTACCTTACTGATGGTTGCGTGATGACATAATCAGAACCGCAGTGATTATCAGTATTGCTACTTCAATTTCTTTTTGATCACTTTTGTTTTATGCTTTCCCAGTATGAAGCTAAAATAACCGATAGAATCTACGTAAATGATTGATTAATCTGATGCTATCATTGTTTAATTTCTTAGTGCACGCAGCAAGTTTGTTAGTAAACTGCGAATAGCTGTCGTACATACCGGTCGTCATGAAAGCCAACAATAGGCATTATATCGGGATTTGAATAAGTGGTTTGCGAAGCGTTAACGCGATGTTTACTAGTAGCCTAACAATGACCATTTTGCTCGCCAGTGCTCAACGTTGTCGTGCCTTTGAAAGTTACCACAACCCAAGAATTTGCAATTTTTTCAGACAAAGCTAAATGTAGCGGTAAACTGTCATTATAGTTCTCTAGTGTTTCCAGCCGACTGAAGACTTGGAGTTTAATATAACCTGACAAATGCTAAGAAGGACTCCTGCACTCCTTTGCACATTTCTGTTTGTTATCTTCTTGTAAAGTTATGTAATGCTCAACGTGTTTTGTTAACGAGCTATTTGCTGAATATTGTCATCAGCCGCCAAAAGACTATACTTTTTTCCTAAAACGTAGCGAAACCCCGGAATTTCTAGAAATGCAGTGGCAGCAAGTCTTCCAGCGGATAAGCCAACGAAGGTTGGTCTTGAACATCAGCAAAAAGTTTTACGAGCAGACGTCGCTCAGCAGTGACTGCACATTACTTCCAAGCACCAGAAGGTTATTTGATGAAGTCTGTCAGCGGATCTGTCGCAGACAACGCTTGCTACAATACAGAATAATGTCTTTTGCAGACAGCTGTCTGGCTGCGCTCGAATTCTTAAAACCGTTTGTCGCTGGGGGTCGTCTTTCTGCATCGTTTCGGGGAGGACATATTACTGCATAAGAAGAAAAAGTAGCTCCAACTAAAACAAAAAATTAAAAGTAATGAGGTCATGAGCGGTAATTAACTTATAGCGATGATATTTATGATGAATATAAGTTAAATTAAGCATTATCTGCATTAATTGACTTACCTTTGAACGCAGTCTTCTGGCACTTGTTTTGTAGTAGGCCGTCGCTTGAATTCTTAAGCTGTAAAATATGCGTTTTTATTAAATAGACTCAAAAATGGCAACAGACTGAGACATAACGATTTCCAGCGCTAACAACATGTAGTTGGAATTGGTCAAATTTAAATAGTGGCACGTCCTCAGCAATGACCTTTTCATTTTCAAGACAGCTATAAGCACTCGGGTCCTCAATGACCATAGTTAAGTGACGGGAACTGAACTGTCCTCAGGTTCGTCTGATGTATCACTATGCTGTCTTTTTTAATTCGGAGCGCTGTAAAAAATCCTGAATAGTTGGGGATTGTTCCGTTCAAATTCTTGACTGTCTATTAGTGCCAACCTGGATATATCAGTTTGTAGAAATTCTGGCACTAGTATATAGGTGCAAAAATTACAGCAGACCTCTCATTGAGGACGATTGGGTATTTGTGGGTAAACAGATTTTCCGCTCCTCCGCTGGGGAAGTAGCAGACTTTCCGTTTCTCGTGCTGGCATTACGTCATTGAGGGGATGATATTTTCTGGAGTAGCTGGTTTTGGTTAATTGTCTAATTTGAATGCTATTGTTTATTCGGAAAAGTTCAATTTTTTCGTCTTACTGTGATGTGGGTAAGCTACAAGGAACCTGAGAATTTTTGAAGTACTAAGCTTTTTGCCGAGTGCTCCATCTAAATTTGAACCACTTTTTTTTCCTTAATTCGTGTTACTGCGATTTAGCATGCAAAAAAGGTGTTGCTTTTTTACCGCAGTGGTTACGGGATGCTTTGACTGACGATTCGTTTTATTTTTATGTTTGCTGGTAGTTTGAAGTTTTTTGGATTAGATATACTCTTTTTTTTCGCGATTAATTATATTACTTATTGTCTGAATTTAATGTCGTTATTAAAGTGCTACAAGTATTTTAGTTGCTCGTTACCCGTTATTTCCTCCAAAAAGTGTGACCACAAAGTACGGATTAAGAACGTCTGGTGACCATAGTTATTTTGTTGTGCAAAGTGTAGATTTTCTTGAAGTTGACATTTGATAGGTGGAGCTGTCCAAACTAGGATAGTTTTATGTGTAAAACGATTACTTGATACATGTTACACTTGTCATATTTCACCCAAAATTGGAACTTTTGCCGGCATGTAAAAAAATTTATAGTTTCTGTTTTCTTTTTCAGCTGAAGAATGTCGGCAAAAGCAGTGAACGAGTTTTGTGGCAAAGAATTACTTTATCGCCATCTTGATAAACTGAATTTTTTGGTAAAACCACGTGCTGTACACATTGGAGGGAACGAAGATTTCAATGCTAAGACATGCCATGTTGAGTGGCTACAGAACAATCAGGTTTAATTTTATCTTTTAGATTATTCAGTTGTATATGAAATTTGTTTCAGTCACAGATTTTTAACTTGATTTCTAATTCTTTGTCTTCCTACAAGAGGCCGTTTGTTCGAGTAATCTTCAAAAAGCATTACTTGTTTTAAGAAAGCAGTCATCAAACCTGATCAATTGATCAAAAGACGTGGAAAGTTGGGCTTGGTAAAGTGCGGAACGGCAAATGAATTACGTGCCTGGTTCGATGAAAAGAAAGACCAATCGTTCCAGGTGATTTGTTCATTTTTTTTCCAGTGGAATACTGCAAATTTACAACGATAAACTGGAAGCATCGTTGTATTAGAATCATTAGTTCTGGATTTTGGGTGCTGCTTTCCGAAGTATTTTAGCAAGTATATAGATGCTGGAGGATATACACTTTCTTCAGTGGTTTTTTATAGGCAATTAAAGGGCAGTTTGAGAAAAGGGATTTGACATTTAGATAGAAGAAGAACCCAAGCAACATAAACTTTACTCTTTTAATTTTAGCTTTTGGTTTCTCTGGTAAAGTCGTTTTTTTAGGTGGGGAAAACTACTGGTCGGCTGCGTCAGTTCATTATCGAACCCTTTTGTGAGCATCAGGCATCTGATGAGATGTACTTTGCAATTTTCAGTAAACGAAATCATGATATTATCATGTTTTATGAATGCGGAGGTGTTGATGTTGGAGATATAGATGCCAAGGTTTTTTTCCGATTACATTACAAGTGAAGGGACCTCATCTTTCATTTCTGTAGTTTATCTTCTCATTGTTTATTTTTTCAAACGAACTCAATGGTTTTTATTAGGCTCGACGTCATATGGTTCCCATTGAACAGTCAAATGAAGCTATGACTATTTCTGATGATGATTGTGAAAAGTTGCTCGCAGGAGTCAAAAGCGACAGAATGCAGTAATATTTATAGTTCTTTCCTGGGATAAATTTAGTGACTAGTCTAGTGATGATATTCAACTGATTTTAAAAACTCTCTTTGTTTACATAAGTTATTTCACTAATGGCTTGCTTAGCTTTGGTAGGGCAATCTTTTCCCTCGTGACTTTTACTGGTTATAAAAGAATCCTAAATGTTAAAGGATTCAGATTTTGTGAACTGTAGTTTTAGGAAACTAGTGTTTTTACTGCATGAGAGATAGTGGTTTTAGAATGTTGATTTACTGCTTTAATTTTCAATAGACTATTAGAACATTTTTTATTCATACTTCATTTTTTCTTTATTTTGCTTATGGAAGATTTATGATGTTTGCTCAATTTTTTTGCTTAGCATCTTCAAAATTATTTCTTACAAATTTAAGTAATTGGTGTAAAAAAAATCAAGTCGTGCATTTTTTCAAAAGGAGCTGTGTTGTTCTGTGCTCTTAAATTCTCTCTTTCCGAAAATTTCTTTTTCAGAAAATTAAAGGAGTTTGTGAGGAATATTTATGCCGTTTATAAAGAACTGTACTTCACTTATCTGGAGATAAATCCATTAGGTAATTTTTAATAAAATTTCTTCTCTGGTATAATCTATAAACAGGAGTTATTATTTTTAGTTTTTTCAAATGAAAATTTATACATCCTTGATCTTGCTGCAAAGTTGGACGAAACTGCTCTCTTCTTGTGTTCGGAGAAGTGGAAAACTCGAGATGGTCATCCGGTTGATTTTCCCGCACCTTTCGGTCGGGATTTGACTGCGGAGGTAAGAACAAGCATAGAATCTAGTACAGCATGAAATGATCAGTTTTTTATTCAATTTTTTATTCTACACGTACAATTCATCTCTTGTTGTTTAGGAGGAATATGTTGCTGATCTGGATGCGAAAACAGGGGCGTCTTTGAAATTGACAATATTGAACCGGAACGGGAGGATCTGGACTATGGTCGCCGGTGGTGGTGCGTCAGTTGTTTATGCGTGAGTTGTTTCATATGGCAGTGGAGAGGCCTCAGATTTCAAGTCATCAACATAGATAGCTTTCATCCGTAAGAAGGTCTAGTAATATTGAATAGTATTTTTCTTAGTGATACTGTGTGTGATTTGGGCGGCGTTTCTGAACTGGCTAATTATGGGGAGTACTCTGGTGATCCTAGTGAAGTTCAGACATATGAGTACGCTAAAACAATACTTAGCGTTATGACAGAAGGTCCTGTCCATCCACAGGGCAAAGTCCTCATTATTGGCGGTAGTATTGCAAACTTTACAAATGTGGCGAAGACTTTTAAGGTCAGTTATCTAGACAGTTTATACTTTGTAAATTTGTTATTGAAATCCTCTCACTTTCAAGGGTATTGTTCGAGCATTTGAGAGTTTCCAAGAGCGCCTTCATGAACATAAAGTTACAGTTTACGTCAGGAGGGGCGGGCCCAACTATCAAGAAGGACTGCGGAGGATTAAAGAAAGTGGTGAGACTATCAAAGTACATGTAAAAACGTGTTTTGGAACGTATTAAAGCACTTGCATTTTTATGCTTTAATTATAGGTGTCAAGCTGGACATTCCTATTTATGTTTACGGACCTGAAACTCACATGACCAGTATCGTTGCGGCTGCATTAGGTGTTCGACCTCTTCCAGATGCCCCTTCTGCTCCGCAAACAACTGGACATTTTCTTTTACAGCCTGGAAGAAATGTAGCCTGCTTTTTTGAGTTTAAACCTTGATAGGATTTTGGTACATTGATTACATCATCCTTAACATTCGGCTTTTTAGACTGCTGGAACTGTACCTTCCGCACCTATTTCTAATCTTCCTACTTCACCACGTCGTGGAGAAAAAAAAAGTGTTGACAAGGCAATGAGGGCAACTTCTTCGAAGATATTTCCGAAACTTTTTGAAAGTGATTCTAAGGCTATTATATGGGGACAGCAAATAAAAGCAATTCAGGCAAGTTTTTTAACAGAGTTTCTCGGCGGTAATTGTTATACGCTTCAGGAGCAATACTTTGTTGTAGTCTCCAGTGTAAGAAGTCTCTAACTTTGTAGGGGATGCTCGATTTCGATTTTGTATGTGGAAGGGAGCAGCCTTCTGTAGTTGCTTCCACTTATCCGTTTACTGGCGACCATAAGCAGAAATTTTACTTTGGACACAAGGTTATACATTTGCTTAATTACAGCTACTATGCATATTTTAGGTCGCTGAACTTGAAGGTTTTTCTAGGTTTCATTTTGAAAAGTTTTTTTTCATTGAATTATATTTAATAAAAAATTATTTAGGAATTTTTTATCCCAGTATATAAATCAATGAAAAAAGCATTTAATTCTCATCCAGATGCGTCTATTATGGTTACTTTTGCTTCCCTTCGTTCTGTGTATGAAACTGTTTTGGAAGCACTGGAATATAAACAGATTCGAGTAATAGCCATGATAGCTGAAGGAGTTCCAGAAAATCTTACACGGAAGTTGATAAAGGTAATTTGAACGCTAATTTTTTTCTAAGATTAATGGCAGTCGTGTTTTTTTCTTCACACTTTTTTTTCACTGTTTTTAAAAAAAGGTTTTGAGATTCATTGTGGTTTTTTAATTGTAGGTAGCGAATGAAAGGGGTGTTACCCTTATTGGGCCGGCTACTGTTGGCGGTATTAAGCCAGGTTGCTTCAAAATCGGTAATACAGGAGGAATGATGGATAACATTTTATCATCTAAACTTTACCGCCCGGGAAGGTTTAGTGTTCATTTGTTATGAAATTTAATAAATTACGCTTTTCATAGTGTTTTGAATTTTAGACTGTCACTTCTTACGAGTATATGGTTCTTCTATTTTGTTGTTTTTTTCAGTGTTGCGTACGTTTCGCGCTCTGGTGGTATGTCTAATGAACTAAATAATATTATTGCGCAAAATTCAAATGGTGTCTATGAAGGAATAGCTATTGGAGGTGATCGTTATCCGGGAAGCACTTATGTTGAACATATCCTTCGTTATGAGGAAGATGAAGAGTAAGATTTATGGCAGCTGGCTCTGAAAAATCTTATTATTAGTTCTCCCTAAAACTGAATACCTGAACGTGCTTTTCTTCTAGGGTGAAAATGATAGTGATGTTGGGAGAAGTAGGTGGTGATGAAGAGTACAAAGTAGTGGGACTGTTGAAAGAAAATAGAATAACCAAACCGCTGATTGCGTGGTGCATTGGTACTTGTGCTGACTATATAACTTCAGAGGTTAATTTTCTGAATTTCAGTTTCTTTTTTATAAATAACTGCGTAATTTTGTAGTAACTTTTTTGGATTTAAGTTCTAAAGTTTTGTGCCAATTTTTCTTGGAGTTTGAAGATTTTTATAGGTTCAATTTGGACATGCGGGTGCTTCAGCAAATGCTAGCACAGAAACTGCAGCAGCTAAAAATGCCGCTCTACGAGAGGCCGGAGCATTTGTCCCTAAGTCGTTTGATGATCTGGGTAGTATGATTAAGAAGGTTGTTCTTGTACCATCTACTTATGTTGCTTTTTGGTGCTTCTTAAGCATTCTGCTTTTGCGGGATTTTGTGTAAAAGTGGAGCGATGTTTTAGGTTTATGAAGACTTGATTGCCAAAGAGCAAATCATTCTTACAGAAGAAGTTCCACCTCCTGCTGTTCCGATGGACTACGCTTGGGCACGGGTACTTTGTTATTTTTTTAGCTTTGTTTTATTTGAAATTCAGTGCTCTTCACGTTCTTATTTTCTGAACAATCATGGTAAAGGATTCCAGGAGCTGGGATTGATTAGAAAACCGGCTTCATTTATGACTTCTATATGCGACGAACGTGGTGAAGAGCTGTTGTATGCTGGTGTTCCAATTACTAGGGTTTTGGAACAAGGGCTTGGCATCGGTGGAGTTCTAGGTCTTCTTTGGTTCCAGGTGTATTTATCTTTTTTAGTATTACAGGGAGTACCTGCAGTTGGAGTCCGGAGCTTACTTAACTGAATTTGTTTTTAGAAACGTCTTCCGGATTACGCTAACAAGTTTATTGAAATTTGTCTAATGTTGACAGCGGACCATGGTCCTGCAGTCAGTGGTGCACATAATACGATTGTTTGTGCCCGTGCTGGCAAAGACCTTATTTCTTCCTTAGCGTCAGGGTTATTGACTATTGTACGTTGATTCGTTTTACTGTGGTTATATGTTTGTGATTCGCTTCTTCTAATGACTCATTTTTTATTACTTCTTTTGTATTTAGGGAGATCGCTTTGGTGGTGCGTTGGATGGGGCTGCGCGGCAGTTCAGTGAAGGATTCGACAAAGGACTAAGCCCAATGGAGTTTGTAAATGAACAGCGAAGGCTTGGAAAACTAATAATGGGCATTGGGCATCGCGTTAAATCGGTATAACACTTTTTCTTTCGTTTACTTTCTGTGCCATTTCATCATGTTATCATTCCAGATTAACAATCCGGATAAACGTGTTGTGATTTTAAAAGAATACGCATTGGATCGTTCAAAATTCAAACAGGATACACCGCTTTTGGACTACGCCATGAAAGTTGAACAAATAACTACTGCTAAGGTAAATTGGTTGTTTTTTCAACTTTATGTAATTCAAATTGTTTGTTTGTGGATTTCCACTTAACTCTTAGCTGAGTAATGCACCAGAGCTTTTTATAATTAGTAGATTTGGTCGCAGGTCAGCAAATAGAGGTATGTGAGTAAAGCAGTTAGGGGTAAAAAGTAAACGAAAAATGAGGTTCTGGGTTTGCAGCCGCGTTTTAACTTTGTATGTAGATTTAGGACTTACGGCAGTAATTCTGAGACAGTTCTTATTCGCAAGTCATCACTTTTTTATGACAAAATTGACTTCCACTTTTGTTCTAGAAACCAAATCTTATTCTGAATGTAGACGGTGCTATCGGTGTAATTTTTGTTGACATTCTCCGCCACTCGGGTATGTTCACTCCTGACGAAGCTCAAGAAACTATTGAAATAGGAGCTTTGAATGGCTTATTTGTGCTGGGCAGAAGCCTTGGTTTCATAGGTAATTTTTTTATCACTCCTTTTTTCCAAATAGGCTCAATGGCGACTCAAATGTCGCAAGAGACTCGAGTACTTCGAAAGTTTTTTTTTACTCCATTTGTATTTTTTTAGGCCACTACTTGGATCAGCGCCGTTTGAAACAAGGCCTCTACAGACATCCTTGGGATGATATAACGTACGTTATGCCGGAATTTTCGGTGGAAAATGACAGTTAAAGTGTTGTCATCGTATTTTTCGTTTCATTCTTTATAGTTTTAAAGAATTTGTTGTTTATAGTTTGTATGTTTTGTATTTAACTTTATTTTAGGAATATTTATTTGTTGTCTGTTGAAAATTAACTTAATTTTTTAATGGCCTTTTGGTTGTTTACTTTATTTCTGAATATTGGCAAATATTCACTTCGTTAAGCTATAGATAATAATTCTTTCTACAGATTGTTGCATATGTTGATTTTTTTATGTTCTCTTTTTGCTGGCTTCTGATCGCCCTGCTTGACATCTTTGATTACTTTGTATATCAGCTACAGTTTTGATTATCTTATACTGCTTCCTTAAAACTTGTGTAATTTATTTAAAGTGCTTGGTAATTGCATATTAATTTTCATAGAAAATTTATTTGCGGGCCCGCTTTGTTTAACTTGGCAAGTTGCGTAGGACTGAATCTCATTTTTCGGCCGTCGAAGTTGGGATTATAAAACGTTAAGCTGTTTTAGTTTGGAATATTCGAAAAAGATGGAGAGGAGGGGGTAATATTAGACGTGTAAAAGAATCTGTAAAAGATGTACTTATGTTCTTACTGACTGCCTAAAATTTTGGGTGGAGAGGAGGAAGTTTCTTCGGTAATAGTTTTTAAGACGATGGTTTAGAAGTTTGGAGGAGCTGGGTTTTGGTTCACGGTGTTTAGGTGGCATTTGCAAAATAAATTTTTGACGGGGATCGAGTTTTCTTTGCAAATGTCGTCAGAAATGTGTAGTAAATTGTTGTAGTGGATATATTTCCATAAGCAGTGGTGTTTCTGCAGTGTAGAAAGGCGTGATGTACTACAGCGGTAATTGTATCCTTCTAATTAGCAATAAACAATTATGGACCTCTGTTGTAGCTGATGGTAGAGAGGTGTAAGATTGTTGAATGTAGTATACATAATCATTACCTGTTTAAGAGCTGCTACTGAGAACAAGCACTTTTTACCGGCTTCTGATTGATTTTTGGGAATCGGGGATTATTAGCAGACGGTTGTTAGAAGCAAAGTAGTTGTCGCATGTCTTTTCTGAGCTCTACGGCACTGTGTTCTAAAGCATTCATACGCGTATATGTTGGTTATCTGTTTGAACGCTTCAGTAGGGTACGGTTTGTTTGCAGTTTAATCACTACCTTTCATAACAAATATGCAGTAATAGCAAGTGCATGAGGGATTTCCAATGCGTCTGTTCACCTGTTGAGGAACTCACATTAACCGTGCAGGAATAATCTGTCAGTGGAACCTAAGTTCTGGTGAAAACAAGCTTTTTAGGCATGAAGAAAGGAAGGTTCCACATTGTCTAGTGCTGCATTCGTTTCGCTTTATTACGTTGTTAAAGCTCCTTAGTTGTTCATCTTCCTTACTTTAACCGCCAGTATCTGGTTTTCAGCTAAAAAATTATAAATGGGACTCGAATTTCCTTATTGGAATACCACGGATGAGACACTTTTGAACTTGTTTTTACCACTCGTTTTATCATTCCTCATTTCTTAATACATCCTGGTACTCTGTTAATGTTTTATCTTTATATTTGAAATCCACTTTTGGAGTGTGGATTCTGTTGACACCAAGCGGTAGCACAGTTGTTCCGTTAGCTTCCTAAGAATTGTAACGTTAGTTTCAGACTATTTTTCTAGGCAATAATTGGTCTCGTTCACCTGGATACACGTATACAAATTTACTATTATTAACACATTAAACACATTGATTAGTACATGAAGGTCTAATTGTTTGGGGCAATGCTTATTTTGAGAGGGCATTCACTCACTGATATGCTATTTGTATCCAAATTTTCAATCGTTCCGATTTCAAAATTTTCCGTAACATTTAAATTTTTTAAGGAAAGCGTTCTTACGACAGTATAGTACGTTCAGTAAACTTTTTCTTTTGTCAGTAGAAGAAACATGAAGTAGGTAAACTATGACTTTTTTTCTGCGCTTTTTGCACCACCACAGAACGGGAGCTTGGGAGGGGAGAAGAGCGAGCAGAAACGGCATCATTTGGATGCGGTTGTAGAACTTGTCGTTTCATTGTCAGTTCTGTTACTGAAGATGGTCCGCAGCGAAAAAAAAAAGGGAAGAAACAATAAAGTGAGCGATAATTTCATATGTTTTCCGAAGAAGAAGATTTGTAAAGGAACCTTGAAAGTTTTAATGTTGAAGATCTATCATGGATGTACGGTTGAATCCACTAATTGAGGTTCTGCTGATTGTCGGTGGTAATTTGTCTACTGACTTTGGAATAAGCGCAGACGGTAACAACGATGAATACAGATTTGGTTTGTAGCTTTTAGAACCTTATTTTTTTGCTTGTTTTGAAAATTCTTTCAAAATATTTTTTTGTACTGCAGCTGAGTTGAATTTTTAAGTTCATCTGAAGAGTTTTGTGAACCTTCGCTAATTTGGATCGTAAAATTAGAGCCATCTGTAAATAACGTAATTTTTTAATTTTGTTATGGGTTTTTTGATTTAAAATAAAAATTTTTCAAAAATCAAATGAAGTTGTGAAGGTGTACAACAATGTTTATAAGGGTTTTTTTTGCCATACAAACGTTACTCACCTAGAAAACGTAATAACGCTGAGTGAAGTACGAAAAGAAATGTTTATGAACAAGTCCTGGCAAATTGATTTTTGGTGGGAAGTGTACATTTCAAACGTGGAAGCTAGTTATCATATTTTATTAGTTGCTAATTTTTTTCAACATTGATACCAGTATTTTAAGAAGTAGATATGGAGGTTGGCGTTGAAATTGTAGACCGAAATTTCAATTAGACATTTAAAAGTAGGGTCGGTCGACAGAGAGTAGTTTACAAATTTTTACTATAGCACTTTTACACAATTTAATAATTATAAACAACGGATCGGAGTTACTAAAATTTCAAGGCTTCTTATTTTTCAAAATTGTTCTTTGAAAAATGAATATTTTTTAAAACTTTTTGGATCAATGGAAGGTGACAGTGATGATACAAAACAGTTTTGTCGTTTTGGCGATAGTGAAGGATGTAGTCAACAAAAAACATAAATGGTCTGTATTAAAAAATTTTTCAGTTATCACAAATGTACCTTGCAGAAGTGAGAGTGACACCAGTTTAACTGTGGTTGAGGACTCTATGAAAACTGCCTTCTGTTATATGGTAAAAAATGTAAGCTTTGATTTTTCAGATTAAACGGTGAGAAATTCAAAGTTTTAAGGAAATCTATCATTTGTTTAAAAAATGGTAAATTTTAAAGTTTTTATAGAAAATTGGTTGAGAATAGAATTAGATCATTTAACATTTTTTTAAACTTATTATTTAGATTTATCCAAATAAAAATTGAGTTCTTCTACGCCGGAGTGGTTAAGAAAGTGTTTATTAGTTTGAAAGCATGAAGAACTTTTAGGGGAAAGTGCTATATTCAGCCCTATTTTTTAAACTGAAGATTTATTCTATGAATTATTCATAAATTATTCAAGCTCAGTTTTTTTAGCAACTTACGTCTGTGACCTTGAAGCAGTTTTTCTAGAGAATTTCTGAAATCATTTTCGTTTCAACTGAAAACTGTTGGGTTGCTGTTTGTTTTAGTGGAAGATTCAGCGCTAAAAGTTTACGTGGAAAGTACCTTTTTCGGTAATTGAGTAGCTTGAGTCATTTCTGGATAACCTGAATGGCATTATTTTACATTTCTGAATTTAGGCTACTGGCATAGAGGGCTATGAAAATATCGAAAAAATATGTCATGATGGGTTTTTGCCAACTGTCGAAGGAGTATATGATTCAGCAGTCTTGTCACGTATTGTTAAAACAATGTCTTTCAATGAAGCTATAAGACATTTTATTAAAACCTATGCTGCTTTGTTTGACTTCTTTTGTTTATATGAATTGCTTGCTGTTTTAAACAAATATAAATTTCAGTTTCAGTAGAATATCTGAACATTCGTAGACTACCGCTCACTTTATATAATAACGAGGAAAACGAAAAACAGTCTTCATTTTATCTAGCTGAACAACTTAAACTGCGCTACGGAAATAAAATCAACCTGTCAGTGAAAATGTGCCTTGAGAAATGGTTAGGCGGTGAGTATTAAGAAAAAAAAAGAATATTGATGAAGTACTTAGGGTTGGCTCAATAAAAAAGAAACTTCAGTTTTTTGTTAGAAGTAGAGGGTGGAATCTGCTAAAACTTCTTTACATAGACGGCAAAATATCATTTTGCTTTATTTTTTTTTAACAAGTAATCTCTGATAATTTTTTAAAGTTGCGCTAGTGAAAGTCGTTGATTGCAACAGAATGTCGTATTCGGTGATTCTTTGCAGGTACAGCGTAAGTAGTAGTCCTTATCAAAAAAATTTTTTTGTTGCTTATTTATTACAACTGCTAGGAATGATTTATTAAAAAATCTTTAAGTTACATTATCTATAGAAGCTTGCTGTTGCCGATTTTGTATCAAGGTTCTAGTAACTTGAAGCAACACTGAATGAAAGTATTTCAAAAGTTTTGCTAATTTTTATCTAATTCATCCAGTATCAGATGCGCATTCTCAGGCAATGTATTTTTCACCGGAGTATCGTGCATCATATTTAAACTTACCAGTGTTTAAATGCGCTGACGATTACGGACCAGCTAAACTTCCTGGTTGTACAGACACTCATAACGAAAGGGAGGTGGATACTTTACACTTCGCAGAGGGCAGTACTGTAGATTACATAGATAACGGAAACATGTCAGCCGAAATAACACAGTTCGCCGAAGAAGTTAGCGAAAAGCTTACTCGTAAAAGCGGTTTGTGTTTGCATATTTCTTCAAAAAGTGCCTGTTTATTATGCAAATAATTGATAAGATAGAATCTAAATCTTTTAAACAAATCTAAATGTATAAAATTTTAGGCTTCCTTTTCGATTTTAGTTCCCAAGATGCAAATTTTACCGTTGTAAGGGATGTTACAGGTAAGTTAGTCAACCTTTTAAAGATACTGCTGTAGTGAAGCGCTTTTTTGATTATTAGTTGAAATTCTACATTATTTTTGTTTACTTAATAAGTAATGTTAACCTGATTAGTGGAAACATCTTTCTAATAATTTAGTACTTTCTTGTTATCATTTCATATATTGACAAAAACGGGGCTTGGATTAAAGTTTGAGGCACTTCAGCTAATAATAATGCAGTTGGATTTTAGCCCTGGACTTTCTAATCAATTCGCATTTGTTTGGTCAAGCTTTTGGCTGCTGCGAAAAGAGTATTATAATTTAAGATTAAAGCAAAAAAGGAAAGTTTGCGAGTTTAGTATAATGTTAAAGGAGCGATTGATCACTGCCAAAAAGTCCTCAATCTTGAGACAAACAGAGTAACAAGAGGAACACGGTACAAATTATGGCCTAGATAGATGGGAATGTAGTCTTCAAGTTTAGAGATCTTTTTAAACGCTGGCTGATCTGAGAACTTAGAAGCTGGACAGAGAAATATGAGTCGAGGTCATTTCTGTGAACCATACCCTGAGAAATTAATTTATCCCCACTGAAATATTTTGAATCAAAGGCGCGGAATGGTTTGTTTTGAAAAACTCTTGCTAGTATTTCAAACTCTTATAAATTAAAAGATTTTTCTATGTCTTTAACTACTTCATAGTAGACACTTTGTCTCTGACAAGAGTTAGGATGGGATAATAATATTGGTTATTAATGCGAGAACTATGCAGAAATAAGTGCAGAAGTTATTAGCAAGCTGAATGACTTCATTCAGCTCCAGTTTGCTCTTTTTTCACTCTTTCTTTGTCTGTTTGCGGGATTATAACGAGGAAGCATCTTATCCTTAAAAGTTATATTTCAAAAAGGAATTATTATCTGATCTACTGTTAAGATTTGTAAAATTACAGTCGTCTGTTACTAAAATGTCCTTTTTCAATTTAGGGGCGACCATCGGCGTTTTTAGTATTGCAGCTTTTTTAACGTGTGTTCAATTTTTGCTGTTAAAAAAATTTGCGGAAGAAACAGAAGATGAGGAAGAAAATAGTTTACCTTCGTGTACTGTTGTCGATTCTTCTAGTTCAGTGTACAGTAGTGCGAGGGAATCTGAAAATTATTAGACGTCTATGAGTTTTTGAGTTTGGTTTTTGATGTGTGCAAAATGCATAACTAGGAAGCGAAAGAAAGTGAAGAACGAAAACAGGAAGCAATGTTGCTGATGATTAAGCTAGGGGAAAATATGTAAGGAGTTCTGTAATGGTGATCTAAGATTTAAACTAAATAGTAATTTTCAAGAGGTGGATCTGCACTTTCGTTGAAAGGCGAAAATAACAGGCTACAGTTAAATTTATAATGGTATTCCTGTTCTAAAGCAGGTGTAAAAGGAAATACTGCTGTTGCGTTGTTTAAATTTGTTCGTTGAAACATTCTAAACTGATTTTTTC